CAGGTTTCAATTACTCGCGTTTCTTAGCCTTTCTTGATCCATCCAATTTTGTATGGATAGAGATGTTTCTCTGTTTTAAGCCCCAATTTTCAAACCATTGTTAAGGAAACAATGTTCTTACTACTGCCGCTATCAACAATAACGTCACATACCTTATGGTTGACAGTGCAACTTGTACAGAACACATTATGACGCTGCGGGTGCTCCTCCTTTGGCGTGAACATTAACCTCCTCACGACTAAAGAGTGGGACAACAACTCGCCATTGTCTCCTTCAGTCACCTCTTCTTCTTCAAAGGTAAGGAACTCACCTTCCTTACCCTCGCCTTCCTCATGCTCGACCAGATTTACTGTCCGTCGCTTGGGCCAATTGTTGGATTTATGGCCAGGTTCTTCACATCGAAAACACTTGCCCACACTTGGGTGTGCACAAGGATTTTCTCTCACAGTTGGGGTTCCCCTCCCAGCAGGGCCTATGGGTGCTGCAAGTTTGGCCTTTGTTGGACCATCTCCAATGCCTCACCATGTCATTGGAACAAGGGCTACCGCGGTCTGTTTACCCATGTTATGTGTAGGACGTGGGGTATTATACGAACCACGAGACCGATTCTTTGACTTCTCCAGTAACGATTCTGCTCTCTCTGCCGCCGTGACAATCTCAGACAGTTTGAATAACGGTTGTAGCGCCACTTTCTCTTCAATATCCCATAGTAACCCGCCTTTGAAACAGGTCACCATGCTAAATTCGGGTTCCACCAGGTTGTTACGGGATGACAACTGATAAAATTCTTCTGCATATTCAGCAATCGTTCTACTTCCCTTCGTGCAGGACTGATATTTCTGATAAAGAACCTGTTCGTAATCAAGGGGTAAAAATCGAGCTTTCATTAACTTCTTCATTTTAACCCATGTAAGTACCGGATCCTTACCCTCACGTGCACGGGTAGTTTACAATTGATCCCACTATGCTGATGCGCCGCCTTTCAACTTATAGGCCACGAGTTTGACTTGCTTCTCCTCCTGGATTTTCATATAGTCAGAGAAACGTTCAACTTCACTAATCTAGTCCAAGAATTCTTCAATACGAAGATGACCTTGAAAGGTGGGTATGTCAATCTTCATACGAAAATCCCTAGAATCATCAATTTCCCATCAACCTCGATTATCTCCAAATACCTGTACGGCTCGGTGGTTACCAACACCAACATTTTCCTCATAGGCTGGTTGCCTATTCGGTGGGTTTGGGTTGCGATTACCAGCAGGACATCCATGATTACCGTCGTTGGGCAGCCTGTTGTTCTCGCGGTTAAGTTCTACCGTTGTTAATCTCACCAATACTTGACGCATAGTTTCATGCATATCAAGCAAGGTCCGATTAACGTTGGTCTGGAGGCATTGCTTCCATCTCGTGAACCGGCCATCGAAAACAAAGGCGAATCTTGGATTCGGAATCCTGCTCTGATACCAACTAACGTAGCAGAAACGATAAAGAACAGGGTTAAACTCTTGAACTCACAAAGAACACACCACAAGAGAGAAACTGAAATTATATTGATAATGATGATATCTGTAGACTTACATCTCTTGCCTTTATATAAGCAAGGCAAAAATAAAATAAAAAAAGAAAGCATGCATGAAATAATATTAAAGGGGAAATCTGAGATTTGATGGAGTAGAATCCTCCTTAAATCTTGCAATGGAGAATAATATCTTCTATTGCTCGCAACTACACCAAATCTCCTTTTGACTTTTCCTTATTTATTTATTTATTTCCTTCTATTCTCCTTACCCTTTCAATCTCCTTGATTTGCAATGATTCTTTTGACTTTTCCTTATTTATTTATTTTCTTCTATTCTCCTTACCTTTTCAGCCTCCCTGATTTGCGATGATCATGTATGCTTAGATAATCGTGAGCGAGCTGTTCTACATCACCAACCCTCCCATATTCCAGTTTAATAACTTCCATACGCGTTCCATTGGGAGTGGGGTAGGGCGGGAGCCCACTGGGGTGGGCTAAACTGCCACCCCTTATCTATACAACCACTGCTTGCACTTAAACAAATTAGAGCAAGGGAAGCACCCATCAAAAAGATGTTTCAAAAAACATTTTTCCATGTTTGGCTTAGATCCTAAAAACATTTTTGGGAAAAAGATTTTCACTTCTGCATTTCATTACAACTCTAAAATATTTTCTTTCTTTTTTCTCAATTTCTTACCAGACCAACACCTTTTATATATAGAGAGGGGGGGGGTTTGACCTAATTGCAAACAAACCCGAGGTTTGCCATTTTTTTGCTAAGACCCCCTTTGTCAGATTTGGTTGTGATTTTACTCATATACCCCTATTATTATATTATTAAAAAAAATAAAAATATCTGACAATGTTAAATTACAAGTTTACCCATCTATGAAAACAATTTTTTTCTCCTCTTCTCTCTGGCGTCTCCACCAATTCTTTTACCCAGGCCACTCCTTCTACCACCGATCACCACCCTGAATATGTATGCACTGATTGGAGCTTGTTTGCACCGATGAAAGTACCAGAGAGATGGGAAAGAAGGCAGTGCTGATAGGTTGCAACTACCAGGGGATGAAGGCAGAGCTGAATGGATGCATCAACACGTGAAGAGGATGTACACATCTTGTGGACCAGTACGGCTTCTCAGAGAACGACATCACTGTCCTCATCGACACTGACGACTCCTACACACAGCCCACTGGTAGCAACATTCGCCATGCTCTCTCTGCTCTCATCCGATCGGCGGAGCCCGGGGAAATCTTATTCGTCCACTATAGCGACCACGGCACCCACCTCCCTGTTGAGACCGGGGAGGATGACTACACCGGCTATGACGAGTGCATCGTCCTAATCGACATGAACCTCTATCACAGGTTAGGTCATCTTCTTCTATTTTTATATAATTCACCTTTGAATTTTTTTCAATTATACATACACGCACATTATACGAATTGATGAAGCTTTTGAGTCTGCCACTGTCATCACTAAATTTCTTTGAATCGTCCTAGATCTGTCGCCCCTTCACTTTTTGATTTCGATTATAGGAGATCATTCATTTATATGCAATACTAAACCCTCAATTTTTTTTCTCTTTCTTGTATTCAGTCCAAGCTCTGATATATTAATGGAGCTTACTGGTATTTAGATGAAGCTCTGCTCATGTAGCCGTTTGAAGAGAAATCCACAGCCACCCAATTCTTATCCAACAAGAACCCATCTCAGCCATTAAATTCAAAGCAAATGGTGACCAAATACCTTGCAGCCATTAGATCAAGAGTGGTTTGTAAGCTACAAATTTTATCCTTTGGATCTATGAAGCTCACTGATGCGTCTTTGGTAACCATATGTGAATTAGATGTGTATATTGCTTTGGTATGTGATTTCCTCTCAACGGCAGTTGCAATGCTTGTGTGTGTAAAATCAATGAGCTATATATAATTTACATATATATGTATATATAAATTTCTTGAATGTATATATATATATATATATATGGGCAATAGAGGGAGAGGAAGAGAGAGAAGGGCATTTTTGTCCTTTAGAATAACTGTTTTAGTAATTTGATGACACTAAAAGGGTAATAGTCTTTTTTACTTAATTAATGGGCATTTTGGTCACTTTAACCATTTTTTCTGACAAAAATTACTGATTTTTGTACAGAGGGGGAGGTATTTGCAAAATGGAGCAAACCTCAGGGGCACACGTTGCAAAAAAATGGAAAACCTCAGGGGAGGTCATTGTAGTTTACCCCATACATAATACATATATATATATATATATATATATATATATACACAGAGAGAGAGAGAGAGAGAGAGAGAGAGAGCTGCCATCACATATACATGTATATACATAGAGAGTGACGATTAAATTCATCAATGATCCACAACAAGCTCAATCAACTCGCATGTTTTGTGGGGATATTGTTAGGATTTTAAATGAAAAAATTGTGTTTATTGAAAATCAGTGCTAGCTAAAGCATTGTCTCTAGTTGATTGTGGGATTTGAAGTTTTCATTACGCTGTTTTGACTATTGTTCTCTCTTTGCTAAACAGTGTAGGGTTCGTAAGAGAACAAATATGATTAGTCATATATACATTTATAGAGAGAGAGAGAGAGAGAGAGAGAGAGAGAGAGAAAAGCAATCAACATTTATGGAGAGGTGAAGAGAGGAGAGAGGAGAGAGTATAAATGTTGTTTTGATATATGTGTGTGTGTGTGTGTGTATATATATATATATATATATCTATAGGGAGAGAGAGAGAGAGAGACTAAAATTTCAGATTATGCTTCAATGTGTTTTAAAGATATAAAGTAAGATGGACATATAGAGAGAGATTCAAAAGTTTCATCAAATTGTATTATGAGAGATGTAGAGAAAGGGAGAGAACACGGTTGATTTGCTGATCCTTATCTTCGATTTTGAAAGAAAGGATTCATGACGAATTAGATAGAAATAGAGTAAAATGACTTATGGATTTCCGTACGCCGTTTTTCACTTTTTTGTAAGAAATCTTGTAGAATATTTTATTAGTAAAACATTTTCCCAATTTTTTGTGTAACCAACAACCAAAGCCTTTTCCCAACTACTTGGGGTCGGCTACATGAATCCTATTTTTCCATTTAGCTCTATCCAAGGCCATAGCCTTTCTTGTAACCAAACACTGCAACATTATAAAAAAATCTTTTCAAAAATTATTTCCATCGAAATAAAACGAATTGCGAATGTAAATATTATTAGAGTCATTCAACTGCAAATAAGCCAGTCTAGTTTCAGAAAAAAATTATTCCTATGGCTGATCTCGATTCGTAGAATACTTGAAGTCCATATGAGTACCTTCAATATCAGACAATTAAATGCAACTGCCATATGGTATGAAGTTATCCAATGAGAAGCAGACAAGAAACTACACAAACAGTTTCAAACCAAAAACTCATTGGATTTAACATCAATCAATGATAATAAGAAAGGGGCACATACCATAGATTTGTTTCTTCATAGGATTGATACATTTCAGCAATTCCCTTGAGGTCAAATGCCCATGAAAAGCTTGGTGATGATGCACCAGGGCTGGTCTGTCGAAGGTTAGTTACCACCCACTAGCACAAAAATAAACTAGAAATTTAAGACAAAGGGCAAGGAGAATAAGATTACGAGGCTAAAAAATAATAGTAGTTAATAATAATAATAATAGTAAATCTTGACTAAAGAAAAAAAAAAAAAGAGAGAAGGAAAAATTCAAAATTTAGATAAGTGAAAGTAAAAGAAAGTATAACAGCTATTACATATGGAACGCTGATACCGTGACAGTAAAACTCGAGGAGAAAGATTCCAAGAACCTCAAACTTACAGATTGCATTGACCAATGAAAGCAGAGTTCCTATGGTAAGATTTTTTTATTGTTGCATGGTTCTTAAGTCGTTGCCATTGAGAAATACTATTTGTTCCTTCATTGATTTTATAGTATTTCAATAACCATACATGTTACTAAATATTGAGAGACTGTAAAAATTGAAAAATGCCAATGTAACATATTCACAAGTCAAATTCCATAATAAATATTTACAAGACAGTGATATACGTATTTTACAATTATATTACATACTATATGATATAGCTGTACTCAATTAATTAAATACTCCATGCCAATGTAACAAATCATCATTGAGATAGATGAACTAATAGATGCAAACTTAGCTCTCGCCAATAACATTACTATCTTAAAATCTAGTTTAGAAATAATGAATTATACTACAATTGAGCAAAGAACGTGGAAAGAGTTAAGAGTTAAAATAAGTCTCCTAGCAGGAATCTTTTCAACTATAAGTCAATTGAATGTTTCGACTACAGAGTTGAGCACAATAACTAAGTTTAATATTAATTAGGTATATTAAAGTATGAAATGTATTTATGGTGTGTTCGGTTGCATGGAATTGGAGCCTTGGAATTGGAATTTTTGGAATTTGAGAAATGCTTTTCTCAAATTCCACAAATTCCAATTCCATGCAGGCGAACACACCCTTATAGAACAACTAGAAAGGGAAAAAACTAAAAGAATGGTGAAGTCCAGCATGAGATAGGAATGTCCTAAATTCAATTCCTGACTGCAAGCTGTCGCAGGATGTAGTGGCCATAACGTAGTGATAGACAGCCATTACAACAGCTGCATGTGTACTGGCTCCCACCAAGATGGAGGATAGTAACACGCATCAGAGATATATATATATATATATATATATATGTATATATATATATATATTTACTTAGCTAACAGGCCTCAGATTCTCCAATACATTACACCATTAACTCTGTAATACGTTCCACGAGTTAAAAGCCCTAACCCCTCTCCACATTTTTTTCTTCACTTGGCTTTCTCAATGCCAAAGGAGGACACAAAATTGCTTTATTTTGTGACCTTCTCAAACCAGCTGATATAGGAATGAGCTCTCTTTGTCAGACAAGCTGATATGGGAATGAGCTGTCTGTCTTTCTATCTATCATGAGAGAGGAGTAACCACCAAACTCACTTTGTACCCATCACTATCAGTTTACCTGCTTGCTGAAACCTCTCACCAACGCAAATTGAATGGTTTGATAGCCACTCAGCAGTTCACTATGCTTCCTATACCCCACTCTTGTCACTCTCTCAACCAATTCAGTGTTATTAAAGGCCCAAGGCGCTAGAGGTCCTTTGGAGCCTAGGTGCGATGCGCACGGTGAGGCGTGCACCTGAGTGATGTGAGGTGCACAATTGAAAATTTAAAATAAACATTCATATCTCACAAGTCATATCAATATTCTAAAAATTAATATCAAATATAAAAAAGTAAATACATCAACTAAACAAGCATCCAACAACCTTAAAACAGAGCGCAACTTTGTTTTCTTGAAAGGCAAAGCATAATTTGTTTTTTTGACTGGCAAAACAGAGCACAAAAAGAAATAAATCTGTTAACAACAAAAAAAAAAATTGCTAACAAGAAAAGAAAAAAAGATGCAGAGACGGAAGAAGTAGATGAAGGGAGATAAGTAGACGAGAAGAGAGAGAGAGTGTTGAAGAAAAAAAGGAGAAAAAACCGAGCCCCACCAAAAAAAAAAGACTAAGAGAGAAGAGAACTAGACAAAGATAGAGATGTAAACAAAGATACAAAGAGAGGAGTAGAGGAGAAGAGAGGAGAGAGAAGTAGAGGAGAAGAGAGAGAAGAAGAAAGAACTGACGTGGCTTCGTCATTCATCTTTGCAACTAGGGCTTCGTCGTTCGTCTCACGTCTCACTCTTTTTCTGTTCGGTTGACGCTTTGACTCTTGGGCTTTCTTATTTGTTTATTCGTTTGAATAAAAGTTTCTTCTCTCGAATGCTTCGGCTTTCTTATTTATTAAGTTGCCACAAGTACCATTTTTTGCTTAAGAAATAGAATAATCATAGCTTTTTTAAAAAAATCAGCGAGGCGCAGCCAAGGCGCGTGCCTAGTAAATATCAATGAGCTTGGGATGACAACAGACGCTAGACCTGAGCCTCGAGCCTAGGCGCGAGCCTAGGCACGCCTTTAACAACACTTACCCATTCACACAGAATATATTGGGCCGAAATGCATACATTCCCAGCTCGTCTATAATCGCTCTCTCTCTCTCTCTCTCTCTCTCTGGACACATTCTTTATTTCATCCATATTTAGTTATTTTTTAGATGTGGTTTTGTTCATTATTTTTTAAACTAGAATTAAATAGAGAAAAGAAATGGCAGAGTATATATATACAATTTAAATAGAAAGATAGTATATTTTTAGTTCACATACACAACCCAAACAAACTGAGAACTAACATAAGCTCAGAAAGTTATGAGAAAACTGAATTCAAGTTGAAGGTTGAGTAAGCTTGCGCTTTTGGCAAAGGCTATGGCTCCGTAGGTTGAACTTGACTTGCATCCAATTCAATCCAGCCAATCTGAGTTGCAGGCTCGGCAATGTATACAAAGTAGAAGCCAGATTGATCCAGAACTTATAGATTTTCCTTCGATCATAGAAGTATACAACAAAATGGAAAGAAATCGAGTTTTAGATGATTTATGTTGCAATGACGAAACTAGTTTCCCCATTATTAACAGCCACATATATTTGGAAAAAGATCAGTTTTATAAAGATGAAGCCCAAAATTTTAATTAAAAACTTATTTAGAGAGAATAATGCCATTATCTCACAGTGTACTGACAATAAGCCCCCAAAGCACCAGTTCTGTTGAATAGTCTGTATGACCATGTACTCTATTTGTAGCATCACTAGAGAACTAATATGCTGTAGCCAACCACTAATACCTCATACAAAAGTTCAATAAAGAGTGAAAGCAAGCAGGGCAAGCTACTGATATGGTGTCAAAGAGACTTAATTATTGTTCAACAGTTTTAGCATCAGTATTTAAAACTAAACCACTCAGATGAAAGATGAAAATGCCAATAGGTGTTTGAATTTGAGATATTACCTCTGCCACGTCATTCGAGAACCCTTGTTGAACAAGAGCATTCACGACATCCCGCTTAGAGGAGACCTTCCTTCAAGAAAGATTATAATTTTTTAAAATTTATTGAATAGTAAAAAAATAAATAAATAAATACCAAACTTGGAAATGAAAAGAAAAATAGAGGTATTTATAATAATGCAATTCACATGATGAGATCTAAAGAGACTATAATGGGGAGAGAGAGGAGGGGGGATTGATATTCACCGATGTTAAACATTTAGTTTTATGACCTATCAGTTGTACGGTACCAAAGTCCAATTCACCGATGTTAAACATCTAGTTTTATGACCTATCAGTTTTATGGTACCAAAGTCCATCTTCACTAAATGAGTAACACCCAGTTGATTTTCATGTTATGCTCTGAGTCCATAACACATTTTGCCACTGTCTGAAGCATTTTACTGAAATAAAATAGTTGGTATATCTCTCAGTATGGCTTAATCAATGGTAGACTCCGAAGAGAGAGAAAGCAGAGAAAAGGGACACCGGTCCTGCCTAACCTTAGCCTTATACTCCGAGAGTCTTTCTCTCTCTCTCTCTCTCTCCTCCTCTATTTTTTTATTTTTTTATTTTTTATAAGTAAATATGTATTAGAAAGCGTTCAAACAGGGAAAGCAGCCCACAAAGCTACACAAGGCCAAAAAGGGCCAAACTCACCCTCTCTATTTAAAATGATAGCTCAACATATCTTGTTTTCCAATAAACGCTGGCAGTTTTTTTCTGTTTTCTTTTAGGTAATAAGAAGCATCACCTATGAATTTTAACTTTACTAGCCACATTTTCTCTCTCTAAATTATGCTCTCTCTCTATATATATATAGACATATATCTTACTCTAATTGCTTCTAATACAAAATATTATTTTTACTGGTTTGTTTTATTTCGACCCCTTCAGTGCTTCACTGGCAATGACCACCTCTGGCTGTTAAGAGAGATGCCTTCCCAATATGCAACTGTTACATGTAAAAATGTAGAAGTATTTTTTTCTCTCTAAATTAATAAAGGTAATATATATAGAGATATACATATATATTATTTTTTTATCTTTTCCTTAAATAAAAATATTTGTGAATCTAAAAAGATTTTACTAACGGTAAATTAAATTTTCCACACTCGATAATTTTACAAATTTAAATTTTTTTATTTTTATTAGAATGCCAGCAGGTTTTAAATTTTTATTATGTGCGCTAGCGGGTAGGCTAATAAACACTAGCAGGTTTTAAAGGTTCAAGCCAAGTAATAATTTGTTCATACGCTTTCGGTTCTTGAATGTTCGGTTGAACATTGAGTCATTGTATACACAAATTTTTTTATTTATTTTTTATCCTGGCAATGGTTAGTAGTTAGTTGGGGGAGGGGGAATCGAACCTAGGATCAATAGGGGGGGGGGGCACTTTAGGCCTGGCCCTTTTACCACTGGGGCAACATTGCCACACCTCATGGCATACACAAATTAACCTACCTATGCATTGTTAGAAATTTTGTCACAATGGAAATTATTATAATAAAAATACATGCCTTTTCTTGTATTTAATACAATACTTAAAGTGTAGTTAGGTTCTTCTAAATCAGGTCAAATTATCTAGCCGGATCTGAATTCAAATTATCAAGACCGATATTGTGAATAGGTTTAATTGTCCAACACCCATCTCGACGGTATTTTTAAAAATGTGTGTGTGGGTTGACCCGCCCATCTAACACTAGACCCGGTTACGACCCGCTATTGGCAAGCTGATAATGGGACACTGACGGCTGACCCACCCATTCATGACCCGACCCAAACTCGCCCAATTGCCACCCCTACAAGTGTGTTAGTGTGAGTAAATTTACCTATCCAAAAATAAATAAAGAAATCTTATATTAGTAAATGCTTTATTCTAGCTACTTTAAGAACTTTAACTGTATCTTTCGATTCCCAAGACCTTGTGATATGCAATTTAGAAGAAATGGATATTAATTCATGAAAGGAATACCAATTAGACAACTATGGAAATGATAATTGAACTTCTTTCAAAACCTATGCTTCAAACAACGAATAGAGGTCCACTCAAAGTTAAATTAGAAAACAATAGTTCCCAGAGCACATACTACAATTAAAAATTTACAAAAGGAAATGAAGATGCCAGTAATTAAAATAAATATAAGAGTTGTAATTCTTGATTCAGTTTACTGATTCACCAAATTGCTACGTAACCAACCTCAATACAATCTCACATATACGTACAAATGCTAACTGTAACAGGTAGCAAATTAAGCTCAATACAATTTGAATCTAACCCAATGTCTGACACAAGGTTAATGTAATTTAAACTAACATAACCCAGGTGAGATGACCTATTGCCAAAGAAACCAGCCCACCAACTAAACCAATTACTAGGTCAGGTGCAAATACGTTAGAGCAACACAAGCGAACAAAATTGACCCACCTAAATTATTCATCTTCCAACATAGAGATAACGATTCCAAAGGACACTGAAGCTCAAACGGAACACAACCTCTAGAATCTTTTCTTAGGATCGATTAAGTAGCCCAATTCTAATATATATATATTTATTGATGATCCAAGACCATACATATTGATAGATAGAATTTGCTGAATAGATAGATCGATCAAAATAATCACGATATAACACTAGCAAAAGCCCACATGAATAAAAGATGTGGAGAAAAGGAGACAAACATAGGCTACACATTTACCTCCTTCGGTAACGAATTTAAAGAAGAGATCAGTTCTGCAGGATGATCATCTCCATCTCCACCAGCTCGAACTTTTCCAGGAGTAGAATCTAGAACCCAGACCTTCAGAAAGAAATACTGAGAGAACTAATAATATAGGAAATAAAGGAAAGCGAAATGAGAAAGACCACAATTTCAATGTAAATATCTGTCACTTGAAAATCAAGGTCTCTAATATTTTAGATCATAACCATTTTGCATGAATTGGTACCACTGTATAAGCAAACACAGATTAGCTTGAAGTCAATCCTCAAATATTTATTGTGCACTTTTCTATAAAATATGTACTTATAAAAAAGACATATATAATCATTAGTTTATCCTCATAATGTAGTCATTAACTTCCTTAAACTTCCCCAGTTTAGAGGCATTTGGTAATAGAACTCTCTCTCTCTCCCTCCCCCTCCCTCCCTTAGATCACAACATTTCACAGTTACGGCAGTTCTTACTTCATTACTATAATACTTCCACTAGCATTCGATAGCATTTATTATATGCTCGCTATGTTCTATGATGAAAGTCTTGTGTATGTGAATTAAACAGTCCCCTACCGGCTGACTATCTGGAAGTGACTTCTTAGTCTTATATCTGGAGTAGGTAGGGGAGCTTAGACTAACTCCTCAAGTTAAAAAGTACTTGTAGTTGTTATAATCTACGTTACACGGACTTGGGTATGTGTGTTTGGGTGAGGGTATATATCCACATGTCAGATGTGTCAATTTCCCACACACAAAGACACATGGACACTATAAAATATTTATATTATTTAATATTTTACTTATTTATAGGTAAAATAATGTATTTGTGTAACATAGTGCGCAATATTGGCATTTCACTCATCTTGAAGAAATAATATAATAAAATTGAATTATTGGACATGGTTTTTGGTGCATGTCAAACCAGAATTGTTGAGCATATATCCTTTACAAAAGTAAGTATTGGGTATCCCAAGGTACCTGGAAAAATAGTACCCCAGCCACATTTTGTAGTTCTATTATCAAGGGAAAGGGAAACAATATCATTAGTTGGGGGTACCATGTTAGAAGTTATCATGGGGTATTAAAAAAATCTCCCCTATACACCGAGCAATGTATGTCGGACACAGGTAATTCACCCATAGAGCATATATAGACTGAAGATATTGGGGGTAGGGTGTGGGGGAAATAGAGAAATATGCAAATCAAGAGGAACATGGCAGATAGAAAATCTTTTTGACACCTTCCAAAAAAGGGAAGATTGATGACGAACTTAAAATCATAAATACGTAGAAATTGCACAAGAAGATGTTGAAGATGAAGATGATGACATCATGTCAATTACACAAGAAGTCATCCAAAAATAGCCATTACAAAAGCCCCTTGCTTCCCTCATAACTTTAAACCGCATCGAAGATTAGGAATAGCTCAGTGATTTATAGAAATGTGCGAACTTACTCTGACAGGTCGTGCTAGTGGCTTTGAAGCCTGTTCCACCATGCTCAAGGCAACTGCATGATAAGTAGAGAGCAGATAAAAATGTTGGTCATTGTGGTAACAAGAAAACCATTTCGTATCTCCTGTAATCTGGAGGTAGGTAAATTACATGTGAATAACAGCTAAACATACCTTTTCCTCCAAAGCTATGACCGATTATAACTCGAGGTGTTAGTTTAAGCTGCCCAAACTACTCCAGACAAAGATGAAGAACAGAACTCGTCAAATAGATACACAGAGGGGAAAAAAATCACTTGTCAAATAGATGATTGTACTGAAATTATAAGAATACAAGAAATCACTACCATGCAGTCAGCTGGTGGTGGACTGTTCATTTGCACATAGGGGTGGCAAAATTTGACATGACCCATTGGCATGACTCAAACATAACAAGAAATTGGTAGGTTTGAGTTGACGTTAGTCGTGTTCGTGTCAAACCGAGTAACTCGTTTGAATGAACGGGTCATATTAGGGTTAAACTCAATTCATTTAGCCATGTTTGACCTATTTAATTAAATGTGTGCGTTCAATCAGATATTACCGGTGACTTGTTTCAACCCATATAATAAGTGATATGTTAAATAAATTTGGGCCTTGTATCAATTCTCTGGTACTATAATGAAACCCTATTAAGTTATTTATTGTGTGGTTTATTTAGACGAAATAAAAGATTTAGTCATTCAATAAATTTTCTTTCAGTATTATAATTTTAAAAAATATATATTAAACAAATTATTAAAAGGGCTTGGTGGAGTAGTAAATGGGTCTGGTTGAGTTACAGGTTACACAACCCATTTATTAAACAAGTTACACATGTTATATTGTAAGTACATGTTTAATAGACAAGTCATGTTTGTGTCAAAAGTTCTTTTTCTTTTCTTTCTTTCTTCTTTTTCTTTTTCTTTTTTTTTTTTTTTTTTTTTTTTTTTTTTGATAAGTGTGTTTATGTAAAGAGTTCTTGACACGAAAATAAAAGGATTGTGCTCAAGTTGACACAGTAGCATAAAACTCTCGTCTCGACATGACACAAGCGCAACCCGTTCATAAGAATTGTCACCCCTAGTTGTACATATAGAATACTTCCATTCTAGAAGGATCTAACCATATAATAAATGCTATATATGTAGTATTAAAATGTTGAAGTAACCAAGTAATAAGTACAATAACGAGCGTGCTAATATTTCATCATTTCAAGAAAAACGTATTAACTTTATAAATTAATATTACTGTGCAGACTACTATTATAATCCTCATCAAATCCCAGTAGTTAACATGTTTAGAATCATATTGCAAAAGCCAAATTCCACTTAGTTGCAATCAAAGGCTCATTAAGTATGTAGGATTTTAAACATGACCATAGCTTTATACCAAGCTCAGAAAAAGGTATTCTTAGTAGTCCTGAAGAATCGGCACATTTCATTAGTATTATTCATATAGAATTGACCGTGACCAAGCCCAAGGCTCAAGTACCAATAGCCTGTGAGATTTTTAACAGATACGATATGTTATATGGTACGTGAATTAGGTGTGGGTGAGCGTCTAGATGTTAGACCTCCCTCAATCCCAAATTTATACATGGACCTGGATTAAAATGTGTCTAAAATTTGGATAGGTAAACACATCTTGCACATTTAAGTACATAAAATGCAATATAATAGTATAATTTATGATGCTATTATTCTTTAAAAATATAATCAATCATGGTTTAACTTACAATAGAATATGGTGAAAATAAGGTGGATTGGAAACCTTTCTTTGCTATAAAATTTTTGAGCTTTTCTTTTTCTTCCATCACCACATGTAGAGAATCCAGATTTTCGATTTCAGTACGTGTGTTAGTCACATATCCCATACCCATATCCATGTTCTATCGTATCGACACAGAGAAGTTAAGCAGAATAGGATAGTCCATTTTACAGAGCTGATATGATCACTAGGAAGAACAACCAAATTAAAAGATTAAGAAGCTCTAATTTAGGTTTAAGTACACAGGTTCAACTGAGATGTTGAAACACTTCCATATAACTTTTTATATATGGAAGCAAGGCAAAAATTTCCAAGGATCAGAATGGGAAGCGTAGTAGTCAGGGCAGATTAATACGAAACCAACCTGAGACACTATTTTGGCCCAAATACAAGTTAAAAAAAAAAAAAAACTGAAAATCTGATGATTTAGATTTAGATGAGATGGGAAGAGTTTTATCTCCTCATCTGGTCGTTTTGAATTTCCTTATCTCTTTGTTTTGGAAATGGAGTCTTTCTTCTCCATTGTTGTAATATGAGGGTATGCCCTCAGTTTCTATTTGTACTTTACTCTTCTTCTTTCAATCAAAAATCCCATTCAGAAAAAAAAAAAAAAAAAAAAAAAAATGAAAGGAAGAAAAGAGTTTTATCTCCAGAAAAGAAGCTTGAAAGAAGAACAAACAGTTAAGGTCATGTTTCATTTAACTTTCAGCTCATTCAAAATCATTGAAGAAAGACACCCGGGTATATAAAGATAGCCAAAGCTCAAGAACCACTCACTAGTTTTAACACATCAAAAGCAGTTGTGGCAACAGTATGAGGTCCCCTCTTTTTTAGTGATGCTGAATCACCGTGGCACCGTAGGTCTACCAAGAGAAACTGTATCAACCAAGATAGAAGGTACAAGTAAGGTTCTGATTGTTGTAACAAATTACAATGCTTTATTCACTCCAATTCAAGTCATATAAAGTAGAAAGGAAACACAAACAGAACTGATTAAAAATAAGAGAAGAATACACAGAAGCTTTATAGAAAAAGAGAATCCAAACCCAATAACATGCTCCGGGCTATGTTACATGGACTCGGGTACGTCATACGTGTGTCGGACACGGGTATGTATCCATGTGTCGGACATGTCAAATTTCCAATCAGGACACACTAAATATGCATTTTATTAATTATTTTATTTTATTTTCTAGAGTAAAGTAATGTTTTTATCTAATAAAATGTTCAATACAGGCATTTAACTCATTTTAAAGTAATAATATAATATAATCTGAATGACTGGATGTGTGTTTTTTATGTACATGTCCAACCAAAAGTGTTGGACACGTATCCCATACCCATGTCCGAGCAATAGGTGTCCGACACGGGTACTTCACTACTTTTGAAGACTCCATGTAACATAGGCTCCGGGAACTTGATAAAATAGAATTAAGGCTACATTTGGTATGCTGGAATGAAATGGAATGCAAGTGGGAAAGGAATAGAATGGCCATTATCATTCTGTTTGGTTTCAAACATGAAATGATGCAGGAATAGAATGATTATTACCATTCCAGTGTTTGGTTAGACTATTTAAAACCTAAAATTGAATTAATTTTCTCCAAAAGACCCCTCTCAGTAACACCCACTTTTCAGAAAATTAGCCCAAAATGAAAGAGAGAGAGAGAGAGAGATAATTGCTTTGACTTGCTGATTGGAAAAAAAAAAAAAAAATTTGTTGCCCCAAGAGAGAGAGTGAAATACATATATAGAGCGAGAGAGGCGGTGGATAATGTTAATCAGGAATATGTACAGTTACTTGCGCCTTAACATATTATAGGTTGCTTTCTCAATCACCAACCTCATAGCAGTCTCCGCTTTATCAGAAAGAGAAAGACAGAATTAAAAAAACAAAAACCAATCAATCTTATCTCAAATAAAACCAATCAAAAGCCATAAATAATCAGTTCAGACCTCCAACAAATGAGAGATTTCAAGCTCAAGTAATAAAAAACTGAAACTTAGAAGAAATGGATTAACACATTTTCGTTCAATCAGATCCAAACCAATTGGTACAGGAGAAAAGAATGAGCACAGACTATCCTTTGATTTGGCTCTGCAAAGGCTCTAAACTTTCCAAAGCATTTCGATGATACATGTCAGCTATACATGTACAAAAGAGCGTGTGTGCTGAGAGTATATATGTAGCGAGTGTTCTCAAATCTCAGTGTGTTGAGGAGACAATGGAAAACAGAGATTAGACAGAGAAGACAGAGTCAAGCCTGAATGTCGAAGAGAAGATCTGGTTTTGGACAGTGCTTCGTCGCCAACCACCGTCAATGGCTGATTTGGGATGCAACAGTAGTGGGTTGAGTTCTGAGAGAGGGAAGTGTCGGGGACCATAATGTTGAAGAAGATGGTTTTTTTTTTTTTTTCATGGTTGGGAATGGAATGCCCATTCAACCTTTTGAGAAGTGGAATGGTTTTGTGGGAGTGACCAACTGTTGGAATGGTCGGAACGGTCAAGAATGTTCATACAAACTTTAAAATTCCTTACCAAACAAAAGAAAGGGAATAAAAACGTAGAATGGGCATTCCATTCCATTCTCAAGTACCAAACAATGTGCACACCGTTTTGAACTTGCCTGTGTGTTCTCATAGCATAACTCAGCAAACATAATAAAACATCATTCTTCAGTAAATTATGTATTTGATATAGGGGCTTGATGGATATAAATGGCAGCTTTAATTAAATATTAAGGAGTTGAAAGGATGCACCCTGTCCCAACCTTAATTGGCAGATGTTGGACGACAAGGGAGCCACTATGCAGCTTGCATAATTAAGTTATCAATTTGATTCTATATCATGTTTCTATCAGGAACATGTTCTGTTGGATCAGTTTTATATATGATTTATATGTATTGAAGTTAAGGATGTTTTTGGGAAATTTCAGATTTTTTGAACATGGTTTATACTGTACTGTAGTGATGGTTCAAGGATGAGCTCCTGTTAGTGATGCGTTATAAGTGATCTTTAAGAGCTTTGATACTGATTGCACTAGTCTAAGCTTCCAGAATGGATGTTTCATAAAGTTGGAGTCCCATATTACTAGAGTTAGGATTGAGTACCTTGAAGTCGGACCTAATATCTATACATAGGTATGTAACTCTTCCAATTTAATAGAAAACAATCTTTTGAGACACTTCTCAATAATTAGTCTTATGCAATTCCCCATATGGAACATAAACCAAAAAGAGATTCTACCCACTTCAATAATTATAGTCTTATGCAATTCCCCATATGGAACATAAACCAAAAAGAGATTCTACCCATGTCAGGATGCCTAATAAATTCCATGAGTGGTTACTAGCATCTTCTTCTACTCCTTTTGTTCCCATTAATTTCTGATATAATCCAAAGCCAAAACCAAACTTCGTTAAATCCCTTTCTACTCTTCAAAAAGTACGCCAAACCCCTCCCTCGTCCAACCATTCAACCCTAGGACAAAAAGGAAAAAGTACAAAATAATATTGTTACCGTTAACCCCGCGGGGTTGGCCTAGCGGGTGAGAACTCAGATCCTGGTGCCTCGTGAAGCATCAAGTCTTAGGTTCGAACCTTTGGGTAAACAATTTCCATGGGGGTACCCACGCGGGTTAAGTTGTAGGGACTTACCTGGTCTTGCTTGTGCACGTGGCTTGTGGGGTGTTGCGTGTGCCCTGAGGTGGACTAGTCTAACCCGTAAAGGTGTGGGGATACCACCTCTATGAAGAAAAAAAAATCTTGTTACCGTTACTTAAGCTTCGTGTTCATGGCTAAGAACTTCATCTTCCCTTGCCAAATTAAAGTCCCAAAGAATTTACCCCTTTCTCCCATATCTTCCCAAACCTTTAGCCACAAGACAAGTATAATAACTAAACTTAAAGACCCTCTTCGCATTATACTACATTTTGGCATCACAGATAGTAGAAGAATGTCTTTACTTGTCTTACATAGGGCCATTTCACGAAATTGAAATTTTGGCTGTATCTGTGCACAGAAGACTTTAAGTTGCTGAAAAATCTTCTACACAAATTTCAGTTCACATTGAATCAACAAAGTAACATTCTAAGCCAAGTTTCCTGGGTTAAAACTTAAAATGTTTTGAAGTGAATTATTTTTCAAGTGGAGACTTGCTGGGTAAGACTAAATGCTCTTAATTGAAACCACATTTAAGTTTCAATTTTCAATCAAACAGCACCTTATTTATTTATCTTTTCTGAACCATAACATGAAATGGAGATCTGATTACTTCTAGATCGTGCAGGTCTAGAGTTGGGACCAATTTGTCCATTAATATGGTCCAGTTATTGTGTCTTTTTTCTTCTTGGCAACATAAATAGTTAAAAATAAGCTCTGAAGTTGACAAGGGGAAACAAAATCATTGGACATCTCTACCGGTGAAGTCAAGTGTCAGAATACAAAGATTAGGAGAACATGCACACAAACCAAAGGACTAATGAAAGACTTCTAAAACTTAAAATCTTAAAATAAATTTTTTTGATAAATAAAATCTTAAAATAAATTAAATAAAAGAAAAAAGTAAAATTGGCACGAGGCATGGTCTCAATGCTAAAGTTGCTTGACACCAAGACCTCAGTGCGTTGTGCACAACGAGACAAACAACTCGATACTATAGTCTAATTTATATAATATATCTGAACATGCTTTATGAACTAATCAACCATAGCATAACACTAATTAGTTCTTAATTTTCTTTCTTTTACTTTTCTTAATTAACTGTGCATGGACATGTAAACACTATGGCGCATTACTGACTCCATAAACATTGCTTCTTTACAATATCCCAAAAAGACAAAATTCTAAAGGTTGACAGTCAGCGATTTTCATGAGAAATTGTGAAATCTTTGAATAAAACAATAATAAATGAGAATAAATACAGAGTTATCACACACAATAAAATGGGACCCAAAAAGAGAAGTGGAAAACCAGACAAACTCAAGTAAATTGGGGGATGGTGGTAGTGTATTCAGTACACCATGACAGAAACCCTTAACTCGTCGTATTAAAACCATTGGTCCAAAAATGTCTCGAGAAGCATTACCAAGCAGTTCGAAGGGTCATGCCCTGCAAGACGGCCCAGACCTTACCTATTTCTGTGGGGCAGTGATTTGTTTCTTGCCAACCACTTCATTTAATGATAGTAATTGGGCTAATGCCTTTGGTAGCGGTTGGGTCAAAATTCATTTTTCGAGATTCCTGTCAAGGGCATTTAATGACCTATCCCACGAGTCAGATCAAACACTCAAGTACTTGTGTGAGTTCTAATTCTCAGCTTCCAAACCAAATACCTTCTAAGTAGGGCTTAAATTGTAGAGGATCTGGAACGAATTGATGTGAATCGGATCTATATTTCAATATTAGGATCCTTGTCCTGATTCGGATCCAAATCGGATCCCAAACACACGATTCATATCCAGCCCATATAATTAATAGAGGATTCAAATAGAGTAAAATATACTTGATCCGGGTCTGATCATGGATAAAATCCAATTCATTTCAGAATTACCCAGATTCATATCCAGCCTGAATCCATGATGGAACTCTCAACGAACAACAATATTCGGCCCATATTTTAATTCAAATTCGAAATCAAGATCCAACTCCATTAAATGGACTTTGGATTGGATTGGATCTCGGGTCAAACCCTACTTCTAAGTGTCCCATAGATGGGTAACTAGTCCCTGCCTTAACGTGATACCCTTCGTCGCCTTCGTCACTCTTAATAGGACTTGAGATTACCAATGGGAAAGAACTCTTCGAGTTTGTATAAGTTGACTAGAGGTTTATTTGTGGGGATGAATATAAGACACGATTCATTCAAATAGAGGACTCACTGTAGTTCTGCAAGTGAATTAGCACTTTCGTTCAAATCTTGCCATGCTTTCAAATTCTTAAATTCACAAAAGTCAGTTTACAGATAACGGATTCATTTAATTTCATGGTTCTCTCCGTGTTTTGGACCTCTTCCACTCCACATTCATGCAACATAAGATTTTTTTTTTTTTTTTTCCTATTCGTAAACAGTCCACTGCAGCTTTTTGGTCTGCCCTCCATCTGCATTTGCTCTGTGCAATTATCTTTTCGCAATGCCAAAAGATTCAACCCATGGGAATCGAACCTACACCCTAGGTGGAAGATGGAACAGCCTCTAACCCTTCATTTGATTGCATTGATATTTGAAAATTAGATAAAATATATCAGTTGAATAACTCCTTAAGGTTTATTTGTGGGGAAAAGCTTCTCGAGACTTGTAGGAGTTGAAGTCGTGGGAAAGAGCTCGTCAAGGTTCGATATCTTTTGTCTTGATGACGTAGATTGTGCCACATGGATCATGTTTGATGTTAACCATTTGACTTCATGTGGTTCGTGTCGTGACATGGCATTTGCCACATGGGATTGAACCGGAAACAACAAAAAGATTGAGAAAATAGCATGCAAACCTTTATATAAAGGGAACACAACTTTTGAAACGGCCTCAATCCCATGAAAAGACTCGAAGTGATGCTTTGGTTTCCACAAAAACAGCTTGAATCTGTACCTATTGAAATTCAAGAATTGTTTGAAACTGACATTTCCCTTATTTACATTAATGGTGTGCAGAATACATAAAGGCATCAGTTATCCACAATGCCCCTATTCAAGTCCCATGCATAAGTGTGATTATTATTCATGCGGCATCCCAGGTGGCACATAACATGTCATGACGAAAACCAACATGAAGTCAAATGGTCAACATCTGAAAATGATCCGCATGGCACGAGCCACATCATGTGGAAAAAACCTAGTTGGAGCTCTTTCTTCCCCACAAATAAACTTCAAGTCAACTCATACAAACCTCGAAGTGCTCTTCCCACAAATAAACCTCAAGGAGTTCTTCCCTACAGATAAAGCTTTAGTTAACTTATACATACCTCAAGGAATCTTCTGCACAGATTAACCTCAAGTCAACTGACTCAACTCCTTCAAATCTTGAGTAGTTCTTCCTTGAAAAAATAAACCTCGAGTAAACACATACAAACTTTGAGAAGTTCTTTCGCACAGCTAAACCAAGAGTCAACTCAAATAAACCTCGAGGAGTTCTTTCCCCAAATAAACCTCAAAACCTACCAAGAGCCACGAAAGATAAGAGTAATTATCCTTCCTAGTTACATATGGGGCACCTAGAAGGTATTTGGTTTGGAAGCTGAGAATTAGAGCTTGTACAAGGACTTGAGTGTTTAACTTGACTCGAGGGTTGGGTGGTCACCACATACCATGACAAGAACCACGAAAAATGAACTTTGGCCTAACCACTACCAAAGGTTAAATGCTCAAACACTTGCACGCCAAACCACTATCCATTAAATGAAGTGGTTGGCGAGAAAACCACTGTCATATGGAGATGATAGGTAAGGTCTGGCAGGGAATTACCTTTCAAAGCGCTAGGTAATGCCCCCTCGAAATATTGACTAATGGTCAATAACCAACTCCCAGACAATATAAATAGGGTTGTCCTAGAGGCATTGAAGACAACTTAACCACCATTATTGAGCTTATTCGATGAGCTAAGGGTTTCTATCATGGTGTATTGTATACATTGTCATCCCCTTGAAATTCCTTGAGTTTGTATCCTTCACCTCGCCAGCTCATCTTTCCGGGTTCCATTTTATTTATTTATTTATTTTTGATAAGTAAAAGTTTATTAGAAATGCGCTCAAAAGGGGAACGCGTCCCTACTACACAAAACGAAGAATGAACCTAGGGACCAATAGAGTCCAAAAGATCTAAAAAGTTATCAGTCGAGGAGCAAACGCTTTCTCTTACATAACAGAAAAGAGAACGGAGAATATGGATTTTTAAATTAGCCAAAGACGATTCCTTGCCTTCAAAATTTCTGTTATTTCTCTCTCTCCATATACACCACCAAACACAATATGGAACAATCCTCCAATAGTCACGAACATGACCTTTAACTGGGTATCTTCTCAATGCATTAATTAGTTGTATGGAGGACTGGGGCATTACCCACTGAACGCCAAAAATACTGAAGATGAAATTCCAACAATCGTATGCCACAGGACAATGCATAAGAATGTGATCCACCGACTCACCATCAATTTTACAAAGACAACACCAATTAACAATAGTGTTACCTCTCTTTCTCAGATTATCCAACGTCAAAATCTTTCCCCATGTAGCTGTCCAAACAAAGAATGCGACTCTAAGTGGAGCCTTAGAGCGCTAAATAGTCTTCCATAGGAAGTCGTGACCAACGAAATTGGATTAACACAAGAACATGGATCTGACACCATATCTACCATGGGTGGAAAGGACCCACAAAATGTCGTCACAACCTCTGCCAACATCTTTCTGTTGATACAACAGTTCTAAAAAAGCGCAAGCTTCTTCCATTTCCCAATCTTGAAAAGAACGCCTAAAACGCACATCCCACATAACCCCACTGCTATCAAGCCGATAACAGTCAACTACGCAAGCGTGCTTATTTTCGGCAATACTGTAAAGTCTGGGAAAGGAATGAGACAACAACTGATTTCTACACCATAAATCTTCCCAAAATCGTACACACCTACCATCCCGAACCTTGAATCTAATGTGTGAAGAACAAACATCCCAACCCTTCCGAATGAATTTCCAAACGCCAACGCCTCTCGTGACAGTAATTGGACAAGAGGACCAGCCACCACTCTCTTCCCCAAAGCGACACGAGACAACCCTTCTCCACTGGCGATGCCTTTCCCTACCGAATCTCCATAACCACTTTCCCAATAAAGCTCTATTAAAAGGGACCAACTTTCGAATACCTAAACCGCCTAACTTCAGAGATTTGCAAACTTGCTCCCAATTAATGAGATGGTACTTGAACTCCTCTCCTCTTCCACCCCATAGAAAGTCCCTTTGAATTTTTTTAATCCTTTCAGCAACAGAGCATGGGATTTGAAACAAGGATAACAAATAAGTGGGAAGGGACGAGCGAGTACTCTTTATAAGAGTAACCTTTCCCCCTTTCGAAAGTTACTGTTTTTTCTATCCTACCAATCTCTTCTCATACCTATTAATCACCGGGTCCCAACTCCCCACCCTCCTAGAGGAAACTCCCAAAGGCAGTCCCAGATACGGAAGTGGAAAAGTACCCACTCCACACCCAAGAATTGTAGCTAAAGAGGAAATATCTAGAACATCCCCTATTTTATTGTGTATGTCTTTGTATTTATTGTTATTTATTACTATTCTATTCGACGAACATACAAAAATAAACTTGAATTTGAAACCCCTTCACCAAATTTATGATGTTATCATATGTGGTTACTGTTAACGAGAACTATGACCGTAATCTCGAACATTGAAAAGAAAGAACAAGCTCTCCCGATTCACCAAGAGCCTAGGAAAAGTGAACAGCAGGTGGTCCCATCCTAAACAGATGAGGTGGTATTCAGGCAATACTTGGCTAAACTAAAACAAAATACACAAATTGGTAACTACTTTATTGTAAATGAAGTTTCAGAACCTTTTACCTCAGCTTACCTTTCAGATGTCATGCCGACAATTTTACAACGATGAAGTCATAAAACGTAGATTCTCCAACAATGTAAAATGCAAGAAAAATATGAAGAGCTAAATGCTTGCAATCTACAGCCTGTGAACTATAACATTTTACATCTCAGTTATTGTATGAGGATATATTGGTTTTTCCCACCTTGATTAGAAAGGGAGAAAAACCAAAAGAAGAATAGGGGAAGAAAGAGAGAGAACTAAAAGAAGAGTATTCTGCCCCTATGGCCCCATTTGATTAGAAAGAGATAAAATTCAAAAGAAAAAGAACAGTTTTCTGCCCCTACTTTCTCAATTTTACGTTCTCTTACGTCTGAAAAGTTTTCACACTTCTAATTCACCTCTCAAAGCCAACAAGAAGAAGAAAAATTGCCACTACTAATATCAGTGCTTGGCAGGAAATTTTATTCTGAGAGGTTGATGTCTAATATGTCATCCACCACATATGGGCCGGATGAATTATATTGATGATCTTTAGTCATCTTATTATGACCTGGCTTGTTCTACTTATTGGAGAACTTACAACTCAACTCTCATCAAGTTGGGGGTTGGGATGTACTTAGAGAACTACTTAGTTTGGTGAGGAATGCACTGGAATTGTGTCTGACTGTTCTGGGGAGGGATGGGTAAGTAGGTTGGGTTATGTTGGCTTAGGGAAGGGGGGCATCAATCCTGGAAAGATCAATAAGAGTCAAATTCATCAGCTTCCCATTAAAACTACAATAAGATAAGAAATGATGTTTCAAAAAAGGGCAAAAGGGGGGGGGGAATTACAATCAGATTCCATATGCTTAATCTGCAGCATGTATTCATGAAATAACATCAAATGAAGAATAAATTTCAGAGGTTTACCTGCCATGTTGGAAATTCTTTTGCCAATCTTCGAGCAAAGGTTCCTGTTATGTTCAAGTGCTTGAAATTAAAATTTATGGGGGGTAAAAAATGCTTAAAAATTATTGAATGATATTGATGGAGAAAAACAGTATTCGCTCAAAATGTATAAAAGGCATGACAAGGATGCCTCCAAGGCCCACGTTATGGCTTGGCATCTGTTAGATGATGCTGCACACACCTGAGACACAGTGTAATTAAGCTTCATCATGTTGAGTCACATTTTATGCTTTCTTTATGCTTATATGCTGTTGATCCAGCCTTTTCATGCATCTGTTAGATGATGATGCACACACCTGAGACATTGTGTAATTAAGCTTCATCATGTTGAGTCACATTTTATGTTTTCTTTATGCTTATATGCTGTTGATCCAGTTTTTTATGTTTTTCTTGCTATGTTGAAGGTTTCAAGAGTATTTTCATAATTCTGTAATTTTTATGCATGGTCGCGTTGGTGGTCCATGAATATTATTTCAGGTCAATTTATGTTATTTCAGTTTCTGCAATTTTACGTTTGAAACCAGACCTTGTCAACTACTTTTTTTTAACCCTAAACACCCTATTCTGTAAAGACAGTGATTCCTTTAATCAAACAACTAGAGTTACTACTCCTGGTTTCTCATTTTCTTTTTAGTAGGCAACTATTCTGAAGTTTTACAAATCACAATGGAAGGACACCAAACAGGCCCCGGAACCCTTTTCTTTAGAATCCAAAAACCTAACCGAACCATTTCCCAACCAACACTAAACCTTTTTCCATCAAACCTTAAAATTAATAGCTATATTTGTACCAATAAGCTCTGAAGATCCCTGTTGAAGGATTTAATTATTAAGTTACACTCTCTCAAACAGCTTAAGCTTTTAGAGTAGATGGTTGTTGACATGGCATCAGGGCAGGTAACGTCTTGTGTTCAAACCTCACCATCACCCTGATACTTAAAATTGAAACAAGTGTTGGACCAAAAGAAGGCCACACGTGAGGAGGAGTGTTGAAAGATTCACTTATTAAAGTTACACCCTCTCTAACAGCTTCAGCTTTTAGAGTAGATGGTTGTTAATATGGTATCAGAGAAGGCAACATCTTGTTAACAATCCTAAATCAGACATTCTTAAGAAACAATTACTGTTCTGAATATATAATGCCAATATATTATTTCTCAAAAGTTAACCAATGATTAAATTATTGAAAGGAGAATCAAGAGAAATATCACAGCAGGGCAACAATGACAAGTTTCTCCAGCAAAATCATCCCCCCGCCCCCCCCCCCCCCCCCCCCCCCCCAAAAAAAAAAAAAAAAATTCCCTCTCCCACAAATAAAACCCATCCCGGTCAGAATTCATTGCATGCCTTATGCTACAGAAGGCAAGTGAAAGACTTGGGAAGCAGACACCCGAATAAATCTCACCTATAAAATTATAAAGCAACAACTAAAAAGTTGAAGAAACTAAATTCATAATGGATCCCAACGACAGGGAAAATCACCATTTTCTAAAATCAAAGTATTTTTGAAGTCATGTGAGAATGTGTGCAGTCAATGAATTAAGGTCACACAATAAAATTGAAAACTGCTATTTGCCAGGAATAGTTCAGAACAAAACTACCATTTTAATCAATTGATTTTTACAACATCCTGGGTTGAGAGTGGGGAGTGGGGAAGAAAGGCACACAATAATAGCATCACACAACTACATATCATGCAGCCTAGGTTTTTAACCAATTATAGTGGAGGAACGAAATTGCGATTCCGTTCAAATATTTAACAAAAGGGGAAAAAAATGAAACAGTGCCTACCCCAGTTCTTCCTGCTCCCTAGGATGCCATGTAAAAGAACAGCGGTTGGTGGTTCAGGTACTGACTTGTCCATAATATAACTCCATCTTACCTGTACACAAATTTTTTTAGATAACTGTGCCCAAGAAGAAACCAACAAGAAATAAAAAATGTGTTCAGCAGAAAATCATCTTTACACATCATCATGTCTTTTGCAAATTAACTAGAAACTTCCACAGATGACACTTTGCAGCGGGAACAAGACAATCAGATTTCACCTCAAGAATGTTTAAAAGCTTTGCTAGCTTCTTATAAATGCAAAACTTCCCCCTTTAAACATTGCTAAAAACTTAAGAACATGGACTAAACCCAAAATTTAGAATTTGAGTCATAGACTGATTTAATCATATATATATATATATATATATATATATAATATGTAACACAGACTAAACCCAAAGTTTTAGGATTTCAGTCAAAAGATTGACTCAATCACACACACACACATAACAATAAGCACTGCACTGAACCTGTGTATGTTCACATATAAACTCGCATAGTAACAGGCTAGGACCCTTCAATCAGATACACTTTTTTTAGTAGGCTTCAGGCTCAAAAAAGGCGCGCCTTGTATTTTTCAATCATTTATTCATATAAAAAACAAAAAAATTAAAAATTAAATAAAAAATATTATGTAATGACTACTAAATTAAAAGGTTCTATATCATATATTATATTGAAAAAATTATGAAATATTTGTTTAAACTTATGAAATATTTGAAAAAATTCATAAAATTATGGTTCACTACTTTAAGTTAGTGCTTGATTCTGAATATATATTAAAATATATGTTTAAATATGTATTATTATTACACACGTGCCTTATTTCGATCAAGCTCACGCCTTATACTGTGCCTTGCGCTCAAAAGGCCTTTGGCGCCTTGAGCCTTTAACAACTATGAATATAGCTAAAATTTAATATGTCTATAACTACATGAATTAGCTTTGCACGCTATCATTAGGTAGCATTCTACAATTACATAAAAGTTAGATGTAGCAACAATAACAACCAGCAAAGCCTTTTCCCAACTACTTGGGGTTGGCTACACAAATCCTATTTTTCTATTTTGCACTATCTGAAACCATGGCCTCGGTCAAGCCATATGTTTTCATATCTTTCTTTACTAACTCTACCCACGTTAACTTTGCTCTTCCTCTTCCCCTAACCCTCAATGTGCACTATGCCGCTCTCCCTAATTGGGGCACTTAAAGACATTCTGTGCACATGTCCAAACCACCATAACCAATTTTCTCTCATTTTATATCCAATTGGTGCTACTCGGACCATCTCACGAATGTGATCATTTCTAATTCCATCATTTCTACTCCTATCCCACATCCATATCAACATTCAGATTTCCGCTACGCACACTTAATTACATACATAAAAGTTAGATATGCAATATTATTGTAAATTTCTAGTCTGAGGTATCACAAGATTGGTTTTGAAAAATAATAAAGCAATATGTCATCATAATATTTTATTCAATTGTGTAAATGGTGAGAAAAGCACGGTCTTACCTGAACATAAAGCAACTCAGTTGCAGAGAACTTTGCTATATTTACCCAACATTTTCTTCAAACAAACACAATTTCACTATCTCATGTGTCTTAATTTACATTTATGGTTATGAGAAGATTGAGCTATTAGGGTCTGAACAAGTTCCACTAATTTTTACCCAAGTTCCAATGAAAACTGTACTAGAATCAATATTTACTCATTTTTTTGGTTTTTATTTATGACAACATGACATCATCTCACAACGTATATCCCATTCTTAAGTGATATATAAATCCCAGAAAATCAGCATGCAAAAGCCTGCCATACTTGTCGAATATGAAGAAATGGACTTTAACCACCACAGTAGTTTCTACAGTAACCAACCTTGTTCTATCACCTTGCCTGCTTGCCATGATATACGTTATATTTTATTGTATTTTTGGCAAAAAATGAAGACAACAAAAAAGAGACAAGAAACTATCAACCTACAGATTAAGATGTATAAAGTAGTAGGTAAGCTAAGGGAGAGTTGGTAATTTGATTCTAAAAGAATGTTTATGTAGAAAAAAATGTCCATCATTATTATGTAATTTAGGATGTGTTGGATTTCATCAATATGCTATAATATGAAAAGAGAAGTATATTAGGCACTATGTATCACATTATGTCATGTCAGAGATGGTAACTGTTAATATTAGGTTGTTTGAGTGACATCTCAAAATACTTAAATAGTTCCTACGAGTTAAGCTGGACCAGACAAAAAACCAAAATGTTTTAGAGAACCCTCCCAGATAATGAAACGACAATGATTTAATAAACTTAAAAACAATTAGTAGTTTGCTGCTAATATAATGTTTGTGCATGCAGATGATTCAATCCTAGGTAGTATTTACCTCTTTATGGAAGTAGTTATTAATATGAGGTCGTCTGAATGCCTTGTGAATATAAAGTTTCTATAAAGATGGTTAGGTTTGAATTTGATTTGACAAAGAACTCCAACAAGTTGTATAAGACCCTCCCAACAAATTTAATGTGAATAATGGTAACTTTTTACCTGTAGATCTATATGACAAGGAGATAACATAAATCCTACATCCAATAAAACTTGTATATTCGGAGACAAAATATTGGCATGGTACAGCAGAAGAAATTAACTTAAGAAGAACGTTTAGATCTGTAAGCAAGCACTAGATTACTTTAAAAAGTATGTCAAAAGAGCTAAGTCAATAGTTAGATTATAAGTGCAAACATTTAACGCTGTTTCAATATAGACTGACCATTATTACACCATAAGATGGCAAGTTCATGTCAATTATGATACAATGGTGCATTTGGATAAACGAACGGATTTAAAATCAAGAGCTTTGAGTTCAAAAAAGAGATTGGCTTATTAAACTGGGATTTAAAAACTTAAGGAAATACCAGATAAGAAGCACGGAATATATATTTTACTACAATACTTCTACAACCAAAATCCTTGCAGCATTGATTTCAAATAACTCTTTCAACTTGTTATTTGTAATCTACGCTCTCAAAATCGATCTTGCATATATTTAGAACGTAAATCTAAATTAATAAATTTAAATTTAAGTAATAATCCTTAAACAATTGAACCTGAATCCATTTATTTCAAATCCTTCAATCAAAATGGAACCAAAACTAACAACAAGCGAGAAAACCAACAGAAAAATATATATATATAGAATTGCTCTATCCCCAATACAATACCACATAGGAGCAGTTAACTTTAAGAAACTTAGGCACGTTAAACCTAGACAAACTACAGTCCCCATAATAAGAAAAATGAGGAATACAGAATACTTACAAGTGCTCCTTGAACAAGATCATAAGCCTGCATAACCACAAAGACATAAATCAACAGACCTAAACACCATTCAAATAAAATAAAGCTACATATGCCTTGCACCTTCACACTTTTTTCTTGTCAATTAAACTAATATTCAGTGGGCATATGTGTGAAAAAAAGCAGATCCATTACCAAGATATCGGAAGGCTTGATCACATCCTTCCCTCGTGCAAGCCTTTCATTTACTAACGTCATGAAGATACTTGGAGCTTTAGCTTCCCTCCTCGAATGACCAAGAGCTAACCGAGAGCTGCGGATTTTGCTATCCTACAAATATATATATACATAGGCAATAGAAAACATGGCAAGTTTCAAGTAAATAAAAGTTCTGATATATATATTTTTTTATAAGTAAGACTACATTAAAGGCGCTAAAAAAGGGAGCGCGCCCATAAAACAAACCATAGAAAAGAAGGAAGCTATACTCTCAAACTTTCTACAAAATCCATAAGATTCCCACAAATTTACAATTTCACCCACTTACCCAAAAGAATAAAGAACTCGGTATGGTATATTTGAGAGACCCAATAGGAGTTTCCTCCCCATCAAAAGACCAGATATTTCTCTCACACCACAATCCTCACCATAAACAAAGAGGTGTGGCCCTCCAAGGATCTCGGGCTTGGCTACCACTATACAACCTCTCCAAGCCTCAATTGTTTCCACCATGGAACCAGGAAGAACCCAATGAACACCAAAAATAGTAAGAAACATGGCCCAGACTTAATGCACCACACAGCAGTGCAAGAGGAGGTGGATCACCGACTCCTCATCCTTGTTGAACACCAACAGCAATTCACAATGACCTGCCGCCTTCTCCTTAAGTTATCCATCATCAATATCCTCCCAAGCGCTCTTGTCCAGAGACGCGCGCGCGCGCACACACACAAAAACCCTTAAAAGGGGCTTTCAATAGTTTGTTATTAGTTTGTTTAGTTTTATTATTATTGTTTAATGTTTTAAATAGTTTCTTTATTATTAGTTTGTTTTAATGTTTTAATATTGGTTTATTGTTTGTTGTGCTTTCTTATGTTAAGTAGTGGTCTAACGTGCTATAATCCTTATTGAAGATTTGGTGTTACTTGAGGAATCAATGGAGAAAAATCCTCCTTGTTTCCTATTTTCTAATTCTTTCCATTCTCATAATTTCTTCTCCTACATAATGGAGCCTCCACCATTGTATTGTATATGAATTGAGAAAGTATTATAAAAGTGAAGTAGCCCTCTGGACTCTTTGTGCCGTGGATGTAGGCCCTAGTGATTGAACCACATAATATCTGTGTGTTTTACTTGTTTTATTTATCTCTTCGCTTCCGTTTTATGCTTTACAACAATCCTACTCCGAGCCTCCCAGTTGTGCTAAAAGAAAGCCATAATAAATCCATCTAGGGTTTTCGGTTTCTGTTGCGTGGATTTGCTAATGAAAGTGCTGGAGAGTCAGAAGCAGTCTTATTTGGAGGTTGCTCGTTTACCTCGTCTGGACCTAAAAGGAGAGGTGGAACGGATTCCTTCCTCGAGGGATCATGTGTTCAGAGTGGACACTCGCAGTTCTTCCTCTCGAGAACGTGTTCTTAGGGCCTGTCTGGTTGGGAGATTCGATAGAGAGGTGGGGTCTTTGGAGGACATTGAAGATTGGGCTACGAAGATTTGGTTGATTTCGGGAGGAGTTAGGGTGAATTCTTTGCCGGACGGACTTCTGTTGTTCCGGTTCCCGTCGGTGTTGGAGGCCCATAAGGTGCTGGATTGGGGCAAGAAATCTTGGGGTGAGGCTCAACTCCTTATTGACCCCTGGTACTTTAGGGTTGGGTGTTCTGGTTTGAGATTGAGGCTCAATTTCCGGCGAGTCATTCTGTATGGTCTGCCGCTGCACCTTTGGTGTCAGAAGCTCTTCGTTGCCATTGGTGACGCATGTGGCGGGTTTAGAGATGTGGAGGCCTTCGAAATGAGTGATACGGAAAGAATTGTGATCACTGTGGCTGGGGGTGGTGTGATTCCGGCGAGTGTGGTTGTGGAGGATGGAAGATGGGCGTTCAGAATCTCGCTTTCTGAAGAGATCGATCCGATAATGGTCCCGCTGACTGGGACATGTTCCGGAGAAGGTAATTCGGGATCACCGGAGGCGTTGGCTTGCATCTCTCGTTCGGTTTACAGTCATGGAGGTGGGGATGGAGCTAAGCCGGTTTTCCATCAGAGGGAGATGCAGAGTAACCAGATCCAAGGTCAGGGACGTGTGAACAGCCACGCGCCCAAGGCACGTGGAATTGGGAAGGCTTCGTCTAGGACACGTGGTTGGAGGAGAAAGGATAACCGTTTTGAGTGGATGACAGCTACCCTCCCTCGTGACGAGTCACGTGCTACTCTTGATATTTTAAATTCATCTTCTTTTGGGCCGGGTGGTGTTGGGCCTAGATTTCGTGGGACTCATGCAGCGGGTTCAAAAGCCACTGGGAAGGATTCTTATGCGTGGGGTGGGCCTAGGTCATCCATTGGGCCGAGGCGGGTCATTAAGTCCGTTAAACGGGATGGACGATCTAAGCAATCTGGGCCTCTTTTTTCCTCTGGACCGGTTCAGGTGAAGACAAGAGTGGATAAAGGAAGGTTGGTTAAATGGGGCCCAAACAACCATCTCTCAATTTCCTTCCACAGTGGGCAGCCCATTGCATCCTTAGAAGCAGGTCAAAGTCATGGCATTCCAGAACTTGACTTGGTTTCGTCACAGAGAGTTTCGACCTCACGTGTTTGGTCGAGAAAGGAGAAGGCGAATTGGGTGAAGGTGAGTTCGAAGGTGTCAAAAGGGGCTAGGGCTAGCTCAAAGAATTTCCGGCATGGGTCGTGCTGTCAGAATCGACTATTGGGTAACAGATTTGAAATTCTTCAATCTGGTTTTTTGGGAGATGACGAGAAAGGCGAATGTGTCTCTATTAAGAAGGATGTTCCATCTCGGAGTTTGCCGATTATTCCCAGTAAGAAATGGACTAGGAAGGACAAACAGAAATGGGTGGCCCGTAAGGTGTCTCATTCGTGCCCAGGTATGTCGAGTTCCTTTCATGCCCGGAAACCTGCATCTTCTTCTATTTCTGCTTCTACTCCCTCTTGCGAGTTGAATAGTAAAGGGGGTAAGATTGTTGCTGGGAGGCATCATTTGCTTTCACCTGTTGTTGAGGCTGAATTGGTGGAAGGGATGATCTCTACGGTTGGCTCGGAGTTTGGGACTGTTGGGCCGTCAGAAAGGGATGGGACGGTTTGCTTGTCTGGTGACAGGGAGGTGGATAGACACTCTGTAGTGATCGCCGAGACTTGTTCGGAATTTTCCTCAGCCTCTAGGTTTGATTCTTCAGGGGAGGAGATGGGTAGGGAGGCTAAGCTCCGTTTGGGTGGATCGGAAGGGGTGTGTTCTTCTTTTAAGGGTGATACAGTGGCTTGTCTGAAGGATCCTGTGCCTGATGTGGTGACTGTTTGCGTGGGTAAAGATATCCGCATCTCCCTCAACGAGGAATCAGCTTCTCTTTTGGTGAAGGAGCTGCAGAAGCACAGATTCTCGATCGATGACCATTCTGTTGACTGTAACTCGGTCCCGGTCACACAGAGTGATGTGTTGGATTTTAGAGAGGACTGGTTATCATCTGTTGATGAAGCTGTGGAGGCCAAGGGAGGTATGGCTGATGGGAGCAGAATAGATCAGGGGAGTTCTCTGGATATGATTTTGTGGGAGGAGGAGGGTTTTGCTAATTTAGGGGTGGTGGACCCTTTGGCTGTAGTTCATCCAGAGGAGATGGGCAGCAAGGTGTGTAGGCAGGAAGGTGAGGACACTGGATTGGATTGGGTTAAGGCTAACATTGGGGCTACTTGTGATCTACTGGGGGTCTCATGTAAAGGAAAGCGTGATCAAGCCTTAGCAATCCTTCAGGCCACGGCAGAGGGGAAAGAAGGGGAGATGATTCAATTTTCCAGAAGGAGGAGTAGGAAGAAGAAGAACCTGACTCCGGGAAAAGGGGAAAGGGAGCTTAGAAATTTGTGCTGTGATGTGAATTATGATAGGGTGAGTGGGGGGGAGAAGGAGAGGGGTAATGCTAAGGGAGGAGGGAGGGGTAGGGGGGTGAAGGGGATGATTGTTTCCTCATGAAGTTTCGAATTTTATCTTGGAATGTCCGCGGTCTGAACGATCCGGGCAAGCGCAGGGTGGTGAAGATGCAGTGAGGAAATGGGGGGTGCACTTGGTGTGTCTTCAAGAAACAAAGATTGATTCTTTGTCTGATCGGGTGGTGAAAAGTCTGTGGGGCAACCGCTTTGTTGAATGGGAGACATTGGATGCTGCTGGGACTTCAGGAGGTGTTCTTATTATGTGGGATAGGAGATGGCTGACTAAAGTTGATGTTTGCAGAGGGAGATGTTCCTTATCTTGTGCTTTTGTGATGGAGGAGGATGGCTTCACTTGGGGTTTTTCTGGGGTGTATGGACCGGTTGATGATGTTGAGAAGGATGGTTTGTGGGAGGAGTTGAGTGGGGTGAAGGGGAGGTGGTCTCTTCCTTGGTGTATGGCAGGTGACTTTAATGTGGTTAGATCTCCGGTGGAGAGGTCTACAGTTGGCCCATGGACCCAGGCTATGATGCACTTTTCTGATCTTATTGATGGCCACCAGCTTATTGATCTCCCCCTTGAGGGAGCTTCCTTTACTTGGTCCAGCGGAAGGGAAGTTCCAACTCTCTCTTGCATTGATAGATTCTTGATTTCAGGTGAATGGGAGGAGAAATTCCCGGATGTTGTTCAGGCAGTTTTGGCTAGGGTGACGTCGGATCACATTCCTTTGGTTTTGGATTGTAGAGGTTTGAGACCTCGCAGTACTCCTTTCAGATTTGAGAACATGTGGCTTCGTGCGGTTAACTTCCAGGAACTTGTCCATTCTTGGTGGGAGGAGAATCTGGTGGTGGGTACTTCGAGCCATGTTCTTGCCGGAAAGCTTCGAATCTTGAAAACAAATCTTAAAAGGTGGAATAAGGAGGTATTTGGGAGCTTGGTGTGGAGGAAGAATAGGGCTTTGGCTGATATTGCGGAGATTGACCGATTGGAAGGGGAGGGTGCTATTCTGGAATCTCAACGCAGTAGAAGAGCAGCTTGCCAGGCAGAATGTGTGGAGATTGCTCTTTTGGAGGAAATCTCGTGGCGTCAGAAATCTCGGGCATTATGGCTCAAAGAGGGGGATCGTAATACGAAGTTTTTTCACAGAACTGCTAATGCTTATAGGAGGAGTAATCATATTGGGCGGATG